GCCCCATACTGTGCCCTAATAGCATAGGGACTAAACCCTACCCACAAAAGGCAAAGTGAACCATTGCAGCCAACTGAACTGAAGGTAAATGAAGCTCAGCCAAAAAACTATAATACATGAAACCCACATAGAAGACACACCTGAAAAGCCTGGTACAGGTGAGCAGGGGAAATTGCACTACAGGGCACCATAGAGGATCTCTTCTTCATAAAGCCGTGTTATTCAAGAACAGAAGATATAAATGAGATATAAATGACTTTCCTAATATATGGAAACAAACACAGAGTTAAACAAAATGAAGAGAAAGGAATATGTCTCAAATGAAAGCAGGACAAAATCACACTAAAAGGAGTTAAATGAAATGGAGGTAAACAATATAATTGATAAAGAATTCAAAGTAATGGTCATAGGAGTGGCAAGATGGCAGAGAAGTAGGGAGCTCCGTACATGGCACTTGCCCCCATATCTCACACAGAGAAGATCTGAAACCATCGGAAAACTTACAGAATCCAAGAGATTGGGAGAAATAGGATGCAGAGTCCACTGAGAAAGCCTTCTAACCAGGACTGAGGCACCCCCCAGGCAAACCCTCATCCTTGCAAGCCAACCCAAAGTAGAGGCGAAAGGAGCAGCGATGCTGGCTCAATCACCAGGGCTAGGCAAGAGGCTTGGAATTGCCCTGAGGAGATTGCCTTCGAGGTTGTGTCTACGACAATTTCAGTGGGGCGCGCTGACTGGGATTAGGAAACGAGGCCTGGCTTGGGTTAAAGAGAGTGACCCACCTTGGCTGCGCCCCTGGCACGGGGAGAGTACGCACCCAAAATAGTGAGGTGCAGCACTTGGTTCAAGAAGGGACTAGAGCGCCACCACTCTTCTCCTCACAGCCGCCAAGGCAGAACACCCTCCTGACACATTAGGTCAAACCACGCCCATCCCTGCTAGAGAGCTGCCCTCCTCCTTTTTTTTCTTTTTTCCAGAACACTGACCTGAAAAATTCTGATCACCGCCTTGCTTAAACAGTCACATTTAGTCTGTTATCTACATGTAAATTCTACACCTACCTACCTTTTCATCTCTTACTTTCAGGTGTAATTAGACTACAAAGTTTCTCTGGATAACACCAGCGTCTTTCTCTCACCTCTCCAACCATATTCCACTCTTTAGCTCATTAAAAACAGCTTCTTATCCCTTCTGCCTGTTCATTATATTTCCAATTTTACCTCATCCCCGCCCTGTAATCCATATCTTTCTCTATGCTCTTCAACCAGCATTGCATACACCTGGCTAATTAATTATAGCTAGGAAATCTGGTTATATGCTTTAAACCATTCTTTGTCTATCAGTTTTCTTCTTTTTTCCTTTTCTTTTCTTTTTTTGACTTTTTTAGGTATTTTTATTTTCTATTATTCGCCTTCCTTCCTCTAATGTTTCTCTTTACTTTTTCGTTTTCCCTCTCGATTTGCATTTTTTCGTATTTGTCTGTGCATTTGTGTGTCTCTGTTCCCTGTGTGTTTGTCTGTCTGTTTTCTTCTCCAGGGCTACCTCAAGAAACAAGCCAAAGTACACATGGGGGAGAGTCCCAAATAACACGAGTAGGAAAAGTAAATAACCAAGGTCTCAACAAGAGAGACCAAGAGATACCATTCAAAGAACACTTTCTGAAAGGATACGCTCCGGACAGTCAAAGAGTCTTCTTGGGTACAGCAGGGCTCATAGGTGCAGAGAGCATAAAAAGTCTTTAAAACTATCAAGAGATAGAAAGCTAACCAAAATGACGAAACGAAAGAGCTCTCCGCCAAAGAAATTCCATGAAGAATTGAGAGTTACAGAACTGCTCAAAACAGATATAAACAGTATAACAGAACAAGATTTTAGAAAAATAAACACAAAATTAATCGCTGGGCTAGAAAAAAGCATAGAGGACATCAAAGAAATGACGGCTACAAACAACATGGAGAACAAAAATAGGCATGATGAATTGAAAAATGCAATAAATGAGATACATTATAAACTAGAGGCGTGCAATGCACAGACTGAAGAGGCAGAAAGGAGAATAAGTGATTTAGAAGACACCATTATAGAAAAACAAGAGGCTGACAAAAAAGAGACAAACTGATCCAGGAACATAAAAGAAGAGTTCGAGAGTTCAGCGATACGGTCAAACACAACAATATCCTTATAATAGGAATCCCAGAATAGGAAGAGAGACAGAAAGGTGCTGAAGGAGTCCTGGAACATTTTATAGCAGAGAACTACCCAAACCTGAGGAAGGAAGAAAACGTTGAAATACAAGAGGCTCAGAGAACTCCCCTCAGACGTAATTTGAATCGATCTTCTGCACGACATATCATAGTGAAAATGGCAAAATATAAGGACAAAGAGAGAATTTTGAAAGCAACTGGGGAGAAAAGGGCCCTAACATACAAAGAGAAACCTATCAGAGTGGTGACAGACCTATCTACTGAACCTTGGCAGGCCAGAAAGGAATGGCAGGAGATCTTCAATCTGATGAAGAGAAAAAAATGCAGTCAAGAATCCTCTATCCAGCAAGCCTGTCATTCAAAATAGAAGGAGAGATAAAAACCTTTCCAAATAAACAGAAATGTAAAGAATTTGTCACCACTAAGCCGACCCTACAGGAAATCCTGAGGGGGACGCTCTGAAGGAAATGTTGCAAGGAACGAAGACACCAGAGACACCACCACAAGCATGAACTCCACAAAGGACACAATGAATCTAAACCCACATATTTCAATAATAACACTGAATGTCAATGGGCTAAATGCTCCAATCAAAAGACATAGGGTAGCAGAATGGATAAAAAAACAAAATCCATCGAATTGCTGTCTACAAGAAACACATTTTATTTATTTTTTTATTTTTTTAAAAATTTTTTTAATGTTTTATTTATTTCTTGGAGAGAGAGAGAGACAGCGTCAGCAGGGGAGGGTCAGAGAGAGAGGGAGTCACAGACTAAAACAGGCTCCAGGCTCTGAGCTGGCTGTCAGCACAGAGCCCAACGCGGGGCTCGAACCCACGAACCGCGAGATCATGACCCAAGCGAAAGTCGGACGCTTAACCGACTAAGCCACCCAGGCGCCCCAAGAAACACATTTTAGATTGGAAGATACCTTCAGATTAAAAGTAAGGGGATGGAGAAATATCTATTATGCTACGGGAAGTCAAAAGAAAGCTGGAGTAGTTATACTTATATCGAACAATCTGGAGTTTAAATTAAAGACAGTAAAAGGGGATGAAGAAGGGCATTATATAATAATTACAGGGTCCATCCATCAGGAAGAACTAATAATGATAAATGTCTATGCACCGAATATGGGAGCACCTCAATATCTAAAACAATTAATCACAAACAGAAAAAATCTTATAGATAAGAATGTGCTAATAGCAGGAGACTTTAATACTCCACTTACAGCAATGGATAGATCAACTAGACAGAAAATCACTAAGGAAAGAATGGCCTTGAATGATACAATGGACCAGATGGATCTGACAGATATATTTAGAACTCTGCATCCTGAGGACAAGGATTCACTTTCGTCTCGTGTGCGCATGGCACATTCTCCATGATCGATCAGATCGATCAGATCGACAGAAAGCAGCCCTCAATAAATATAAAAGAATTGAGATCATACCATGCACACTTTCAGATCATAATGCTTTGAAATGTGAAATCAATCACAGGAAGACGTCTGGAAAACCTCCAAAAACATGGAGGTGAAAGAACACCCTACTAAAGAATGAACGTGCCAATCAGGCAAGTAGAGAAGAAATTTAAAAATATATGGAAACAAATGAAAATGAAAATACAACAATTCAAAATCTATGGGATGCGGCAAAGGCAGTCCTAAGAGGAAAGTACATTGTACTTCAGGCCTTTTTCAAGAGATTAGAAAAAGTGCAAGTCCAAAATCTAACAGCTCGCCTAAAGGAACTAGAGGCAGAGCAACAAGAGCACCTCAAACCCAGTAGAAGAAGAGAAATAGTAAAAATCAGAGCAGAAATAAACAACATAGAGACCAAAGAAACAATTGAACAGATCCATGAAACCAAGAGTTGGTTCTTTGAAAAAATACACAAAATTGACAAACCTCTAGCCAGGCTTCTCAAAAAGAAAACAGAGAGCACCCAAATAGACAATATCATGAATGAAAATGGACTTATTACAACCAACCCCTCAGAAATACAAGTAATTATCAGGGAATATTATGAAAAATTATGTGCCAAAAAATTGGACAACTTAGAAGAAATGGACAAATTCCCAAACACACACTCACTACCAAAATTCACACGGGAAGAAATAGAAAATATGAACAGAACCATAGCTATGAAGAAATCGAATCAGTGATCAAAAATCTCCCAACAAATAAAAGCCTTGGACCTGATGGCTTCCCAGGGAAATTCTACCAGACATTTAAACGGAATTAATACCAATTCTTCTCAAGCAATTCCAAAAAATAGAAATTGAAGGAAAATCCCGGACTCATTTTATGAAGCCAGCATCACTCTGATTCCCAAGCCAGACAGCAATCCAGCCAAAAAAAAGAGAACTACAGGTCAATATCCTTGATGAATACGGATGCAAAAATCCTCAACAAGATCCTTGCAAATCGAATAAAACAGCACATAAAAAGAATTATCCACCAAGATCAAGTGGGATTCATTCCTGTGTTACAGGGTGGTTCACTTTTCGCAAATCAATAAATGTGATACATCACATCAAGAAAAGAAACGATAAAAAAAAACATATAATCCTGTCGATAGATGCAGAAAAAGCATTTGACAAAATACAGAATCCCTTCTCAATAAAGACCCTTGAGAAAGTCGGTATAGAAGGAACTTACTTAAACATCATCAAAGCCATCTATGAGAAGCCCTCAGCTAATATCATCCTCAACGGGGAAAAACTGAGAGCTTTCTCCCTGAGATCAGGAACATGACAGGGATGTCCACTCTCACCACTGTTGTTTAACATAGTGCTAGAAGTCTTAGCATCAGCCATCAGACCACAAAAGGAAATAAAAGTCATCAAAATCGGCAATGAAGAAGTCAACTTTCCTTTTCGCCAACAACATAAAATACCTCGGAATAAACCTAACCAACAATACAAGAGATCTATATGATGAAAACTATAAAAAACTTATGAAGGAAATTGAAGAAGACACAAAGAAATGAAAAAACATTCCGTGCTCATGGATAGGAAGAATAAATATAGTTAAGATGTCATTACTACCCAAAGCACTCTACACATTCAATGCAATTCCAATCAAAATTGCACCCGCATACTTCTCAAAACTAGAACAAAGTATCCTAAAATTTATATGGAACCCCAAAAGACCCAGAATAGCCAACGTAATACTGAAAAATAAAACCAAAACGGGAGGTATCACCATCCCAGACTTTAGCCTCTACTACAAAGCTGTCATCATCAAGACAGTATGGTATTGGCACAAAAACAGACACATAGACCAATGGAACAGAATTGAGAACTCAGAAGTGGACCCAAAAGTATACAGCCAACTAATCTTTGACAAAGCAGGAAGGAGTATCCAATGGAAAAAAAAAAAGACAGCCTCTTGTTAGTTTAAAGACTTATGAGGCTCTCTGCACCTGTGAACGCTGCTGTATCCAAGAAGACTCTTTGGCTGTCCAGGGCCTATCCTTTCAGAAAGTGTTCTATAAATGGTATCTCTTGGTCTCTCTTGTTAAGACCTTGGTTATTTTATTTTCCTACTCGTAGTGGTATTTGGGACTCTCCACCATGTGTACTTTGGCTTGTTTCTTGAGGTAGCCCTGGAGAAGAAAACAGACAGACAAACACACAAGGAACAGAGGGACACAAACGCACAGACAAATCCAACAATCACGGTAACCGGGAAGGAAAATGAAAAATTAAAGAGAAAAGACGGAAAAGGGAAGACTAATGATAGAAAATAAAAATACATTAAAAAGTCAAAAGAAGAAAAGAAAAGGAAGAAAGAAGAAAACTGATAGTCAAAGATCGGTTTAAAGCATATAACCAGATTTCCCAGCTACAATTAAATAGCCAGGTGTATGCAGTGCTGGTTGAAGAGCGTAGAGAAAGAGAGAGATGATAGGGCGGAGATGAGGTAAAATTGGAAATATAATGAACAGGTAGAAAGGATAAGAAGCTTTTTTCAAAGAGCTAAAGGGTGGAATATGGTTGGAAAGGTGAGAGAAAGATGGTGGTGTTATCCAGAGAAACTATATAGTCTGATTACCCCTGAGTTGCTTTGTTATACCAGCATTAACAGTTCTCTGGTCGCTGCTTCCCTGTTGGCAGGAGTTGAGTGGAGGGTGGGGGAAGTGTCACAGCCTCAGATCCACCGGAGTCAAGCAGCAATACAACCCGAATGTGTTTGGGGAACTTAGCAACTTCAGGTCCGCAGAGTCCGCATGGCCTCACCCCGCCGCAACCGCTTTACCGGCCGCCGCCGCTTCAGCTGACAACTTTTCGCTCACGCATACGCCACTTCACCCGGCGCCAGCGCCACTTTACTGGGTGGCCACCACCGCCGCTTCAGCGGGCCGATATCGCGCCTCCACAGTCCCCTTGTTAATCAGCTCATCTTCCTGCTCAAGTGTCTCCAATTCTGATTCTGAAGCATTATTTGGTAAACCAAATCATTCATAACCCAGGTAGGAAGGAAAAAAATAAAGAAGAAAGCTTCCAAGTGGTGAAAAATCAATGTCATTAAAGCCATGCACTGTATTTTTCTTCATATAAGAGCCATTGCTCATCCCTTACCCAATTCTAGCAAGCTTACCTATCCGGTTTTCCAACTCACAAATGTTTAAAAATAATAAATTAAAAGGAAGTTACTGCTGCTACAGGATATTATTACTATCAACCTTTATTACATGTTACTAGCTACTAAACATTGTGCTAAGCCTTTTACATGCGTTATTTCACTAATCTTTGCAACAAGTCTGTAAATTTAATCATAATTAATAGCTTCATTTTACAGTTTCATAAACTGAGTTTTACATTACATTTTAGGAAAAAATGATGTTCACATTTGTCTATATTTAGTTTGGACAGGCATATAGGTAACAGTGTGAAGGGCTATGACACAACCTGAGAGCAAAAAATTAGAAAAACATTAAAAAAAAGAAATTATATACAGTTGGATAGCATAGCAATTTGGAGATATTTAATTTGGAGACAGACCACATTATACCTCTCAGCAGCATTGTGAAAGTAATATGGTGGACCAAAACACAGTAAAGGAGCTGGTTTGTGTATATGACCCCCAAACCATTAAAAATAAATTAAATTATGTTCAAAATCATTTACTTAAGAATGGAGAAAGTGTAATTCATGCTATAAATTTTTATTTATTTTTTTTAATTGGTAAGTTAAATCTCAGCTGTGTATTTTGGATTCTCAAAGAGAAGTCTTCAGTTATCTGAAAAAGTCATAAAAATGGAACATACTATTCCCTGATGATAGTGGTATTTTTTATGTGTGGTGTGTTTCTAAAGACTAAAATATGAAAAAGGAGAGAAGGAATATAACTTGATTTGCAAGGGATTTTGCTTTCCTTTTCAAAGACTCTGCATTATGGTTTAGTTAGTCCAGTCAATTTGCTGCGGTTTGGGCATTTTCCATCACCAGGGTTTATCCTATATGCTGACTAATGTGGAACCAAACAAGGAGACTTGGGAACAAGACTGACTATATGTATGATTTGAAGTTGGCAAAGACAAATCCCAACCCCACTGTTTACAAGGACTAAAATAGCTGTCCCTTTGTCCTACCTAAAATGGCCACATGGCCCAGATTCAGGATGTGATTATAATTTGTCATTATAGGTGAGACTTTTTTCTTTCATAATTTATTTTTTAACATAGATTTTTTTAAATTTATTCATTTTTGAGAAACAGAGAGACAAAGCACTAGTGGGGGAGGAGGAGAGAGAGACACACAGAATCCAAAGCAGGTTTCAGACTCCAAGCTGTCAGCACAGAACCCGACCTGGGACTCGAACTCACTGACTGAGAAACCATAACCAGAGGAAGTCGGACACCCAACCAACTGAGCCACCCAGGCGCCCTGAGAAGGTGAGATTTTGAGAAAGGTCACTTCTCAAGAGGTCAGCCCTTTGTGGAGTACCTGGGGTTTGCTTCGTGCATCTGAGTGGCTCAGGAAAGAATGAGAACCCTGGGCCAAGACATTCAGAATAAGCCAGGGGCCCTGCAAGACTGCAACAAGTACCCTTCAACAAAATTGGCCTCATCCATAATCCTACCCTATTATACTTTGCCTAGATCTATTCATGGTAAAGATCCCAAGAAAACATTTCAAGAAGGGATCCTAGGGACTGAATAGGTGGAATGTGGAAGGAGGTGAGGGACTGCACACTGCCCTCTAAGAATTAAACAAATGGCCTAGTGTGGATGGAATAAGGAGATGTTACATGAGACAGACATAAAAAATAAAGTCCCAAACCACTGTGGTCATTTAGAAATGTTTGCAGCTTTTTACAGAAGCTGTGGTATTACTCTCAATTTCCTCGCCAAATATTTATTAAATTAACCAATGACTGAGTATATCAGGCTGCCTCACATCAGTGCAGCATCTCACTTTCCCTGTGGCTCTAAACTGTCAGGCACTGTCAAAAAAAAAAAATACATAAACCTTTTCCACACTCTAAATAGCTATGTTACAGAGGAAAATTGAAATGTGTTCCGGGAGTGGGTGTGTTTGATTTAGTTCAGTGTGTGCAGAAAAGGCAAACCTCCACAGCCATTTAAACATTTTCCTCCTCAATGATGGGTACACAAACAGCCGAGCTCCTGCACTAAGACTCTAAATGGTAATATACACTTATAAAGATTATTTTCTTAACTATTTTGAGGCATTTTATAAATAATATGCATGTGTCTGCTAAGCACATTTAGTTAGTTAACGTTTGCTTATTTTCTCCTGAGGTTGGTCTTGTGTGGTTACATATGTGGTATGATTTCTGAGGTATCAGAAAGAGTTTCTACCTCAGCCACCCAAAAATATCTCTTGGGTTGGCGCACCACAGAGCCTAAAATCTCCACACTGCTCAAACATTTGATTTAATCATTGAAAGCATCTGCTAAAACCCAAATATTACATTAGGATACTAAGCAGACATAAAAAATTAAAGACTATTGAAAACAGAAAAGATTGGGGAGGGGCAAGATGGTGGAGAAGTAGGGAGCTCCGTACTTGCACTCGTGCCCATACCTCACACGGAAAAGATCTGAAGCCGTAGGAAACCTTATGAAACCTGAGAGATTGGGAGAAAAAGGACGCAGAATCCACTGAGAAAGCCTTCTAACGTGAGTGCAAACTGGGGAAGATAAAATCAGGCCAGGATCAGAGACTCCAGGGACGGGGGCGATCCCCCTCTGCGGGGAGTGAGAGGTGAAAAAAAGACAGTCGGAAACAGAAAAACCTCCGCTCGGGGAAAAACCTCCGCTCAGGGCATAGAAAGACCGTGGGCGCCAAATACCTGCGCACCAGGTCCCCGCGTGCAAACTCGTCCTGGAGGGGCTGCGCGTGTGGACTACTTCTTCGTGCTTGCTCCTGGCTGGCTGGACTTCTAGAGTAGCAGCGCGCCTGCCACGCCATTGTCCTCCTGGCTGGCTTGGACTTCAGGAGGAACCGACATTGCCCTCTTGGCTGGCTTGGACCCCTGGAGGAGCTGCACACGGACACATGGCGTCCACGCTCTTGGCTGGCTGGAACTCTAGAGGGAAGGCAAAGAGCTAAAAACTGGGAGATTAGCCCGCGAGTTCGTGTTTTGGTTGACGAGACACAGAAGGACCTGGTTTTCCTCACTCCAGCAATCTCGGTGCACCCGGCATGCAAGCCCCTGCCCATGCTCCCCAGCCCGACCCAGAGAAGGGAGCAGCAATTCTGGCTCCACCCCTAGAACCAGGAGGGGGCTTGGAATTGCCCCGAGGGGATCGACTGTGAAGTTGTGTCTACTGCAATTTCAGCGGGGCGCGCAGACTGGGATTTGGAGACCTGGACTGGCCTGGGTTGAAGAGTGCAACCAAATTTGGCTGCGCCCCAGGTACGGGGAGTTTACACACCCCAAAATGCGAGATGCAGCGCATGGTTCAAGAAGGGACAGGAGCACCACCACTCTCCTCCCCACAACCGCCAAGGCAGAACTCCCGCCTGACGCATTGGATCACACCACGCCCATCCCTGCTTGAGAGCTACCCTCCTCCCCCCGTTTTGTTTTGTTTTGGTTTTTTTTTTGTTTGTTTGTTTGGGGGTTTTATTCTTTTTTTTTCTTTTTTTTTTCTTTTTTTTTTTTCCTTTTTTCCCCAGAACACTGACCTGATTAAATCTGGCCGACAGCTTCCTTAAACAATCACATTTAGTCCATTTTGTAGATGTAAATTCTAAACCTACCGACCTTTTCATCTCTTTCTCTTAGGAGTAACTAGACTATATAGTTTCTCTGGATAACACCAGAGTCCTTCTCTCAAGTATCCAAACATATTCCACACTTTAGCTCTTTGAAAAAAGCATCTTATCCCTTCTGCCTGTTCATTCTATTTCCAATTTTGCCTCATACCCTCCCTGTCTTCTGTCTCTTTCTCTATGCTCTTCAACCAGCATTGCATACACCCGCTATTTAATTGTAGCTGGTAAATCTGGTTATATGCTTTAAACCATCCTTTGTACATCTATTTTCTTCTTTTTTCCTTTTCTTTTCTTCTTCTTGACCTTTTTATGTATTTTTTGTTTTCGATTATTCGCCCTATCTCCTCCATCTTTTCTCTTAACTTTTTCATTTTCCCTCTCAGTTTGCATGTTAGTTGGATTTGTCTGTGGGTTTGTGGGCCCCTGCTCCCTGTGTGTTTGTCTGTATGTGTTCTACTCCAGGGCTACTTCAAGAAACAAGACAAAGTACAGATCGTGGAGAGTCCCAAATATCACTACGAGTAGGAAAATAAAATAACCAAGGTCTCAACAGGAAGATCAAGAGATACCATTCAAAAATCACTCTCTGAAAAGATAGGCCCTGGACAGTCAAAGAGTCTTCTTGGATACACCAGCGCTCACAGGTGCAGAGAGCCTAACAAGTTTTTGAAACCAACAAGAGCCGGAAAGCTAACTAAAATGATGAAATGAAAAAGCTCTCCACCAAAGAAATTCCAAGAAGAATTGACAGCTAATGAACTGCTCAAAACAGATATAAGCAACATAACTGAACAAGATTTTAAAATAATAATCATAAAATTAATAGCTGGGCTATAAAAAAGGTAGAGGGGACATCAAAGATACTATGGCTACAGACAAATGGAGAATAAAAATAGGCATGATGAATTGAAAAATGAGATAAATGAGATACATAATAAATTAGAGGCCTCCACTGCACGGATTGAAGAGGCAGAAAGGAGAATAAGTAATTCAGACACCATTATAGGAAAACAAGAAGCAAACAAAAAAAGAGACAAACTGATACAGGACATGAAAGAAGAGTTCGATATATCCGTATCATAGGAAACCCAGAATAGGAAGAGATAGGGAAAGGTGCTGAAGGAGTCCTGGAACAAATTCGAGCAGAGAACTTCCCCAAACTGGGGAAGGAAGTAAACGATGAAATACAAGAGGCTCAGAGGACTCCCCTAAGACGTAATTTTAATTGACCTTCTGCACGGCATATCATAGTAAAAATGGCAAAATATAATGACAAAGAGAATATTTTTAAAGCAGCTAGGGAGAAAAGGGCCCTAACATCCAAAGGGAAACCTAACAGAGTGGTGACAGACTTATCTACAGCAACTTGGCAGACCAGAAAGGAATGGCAGGAGACATAGGGTAACAGAATGGATATAAAAAGAAAATCCATCTATATGCTGTCTAGAAGAAACTCATCTTAGACTGCAGGATACCTTCAGATTAAAAATAAGGGGATGGAGAAAGATATATCATGCTACTGTAAATCAAAAGAAAGCCAGAGTAGCTATACTTATATCAGACAAACTGGACTATAATTAAAGACAATAACAAGAGATGAAGAAGGGCATTACATAATAATTACAGGGTCTATCCATCAGGAAGAACTAACAATCATAACTGTCTATGCACCGAATATGGGAGCACCTAATATTTAAAACAAATAATCACAAACCGAAACAAGCTTATAGATAAGAATGTGCTAATAGCAGGTGACTTTAATACTCCACTTACAGCAATGGATAGGTCAATCACACAGAATATCAATAAAGAAATAAAGGAGTTGAAAGACACATTGGACCAGATAGATCTGACAGATATATTCAGAACTCTACATCCTGAGGCCAGGGAATTCACTTTCTTCTCATGTGCGCATGGCACATTCTCCAAGATAGATCACATACTGGGACATAAAGCAGCCCTCAATAAATATAAAGGAAATGAGATCCTACCAGGCACACTTTCAGATCATAATGCTTTGAAATGTGAAATCAATCACAGGAAGAAGTCTGGAAAACCCCCTAAAACATGGAGGTAATAGAACACCCTACTAAAGAATGAATGGGCCAATCAGGCAAGTAGAGAAGAAATTTAAAAATATATGGAAACAAATTAAAATACAACAATCCAAACTCTATGGGATGGTGCAAAGGCAGTCTTAAGAGGAAAGTATATTGCACTCCAAGTCCATTACAAGAAATTAGAAAAAGCGCAAGTCCAAAATCTAACAGCTCACGTAAAGGAACTAGAAGCAGAGCAAGAAAAATGTCCTAAACCCAGTAGAAGAAGAGAAATAGTAAAAATCAGAGCAGAAACAAACAACATAGAGACCAAAGAAACAATTGAACAGATAAACGAAACCAAAAGTTGGTTCTTTGAAAAAATAAACAAAATTGAGAAACCTCTAGCCAAGCTTCTCAAAAAGAAAAGAGAGAACACTCAAACAGACAAAGTCACGAATGAAAATGGATTTATTAAAACCAACCCCTCAGAAATACAGGCAATTATCAGGGAATACTATGAAAAATTATATGCCAACAAATTTGACAACTTAGAGGAAATGGACAAATTCCTAAATGCTCACTCACTACCAAAATTCACACGGTAAGAGATAGGAAATCTGAACACTCCCATAACTAGTGAGTAAATCGAATCAGTGATCAAAAATCTCCCAACAAATAGGAGCCCTGGACCTGCTGGTTTCCCCGGGGAATTCCACCAGACGTTTAAAACAGATCTAATACCAATTATTCTCAACCTATTCCAGAAAATAGAAATTGAAGAAAAACTCCCGGACTCATTTTTTGAAGTCAGCATCACTCTGAGTCCCAAGCCAGACAGAGATCGAGTTAAAAAAGCAAACTACAGACCAATATCTTTGATGAATACGGATGCAAAAATCCTCAACAAGATCCTTGCAAATAGAATCAAATAGCACATAAAAAGAATTATCCACCAAGATCAAGTGGGATTCATTCCTGGGTTACAGGGCTCGTTCAATACTTGCAAATCAATCAATGTGATACACCACATCAACAAAAGAAAAGATAAAATACCATATGATCCTGTCGATAGACGCAGAAAAAGCATTTGACAAAATAGAGCATCCATTCTTAATAAAGACTCTAGAGAAAGTTGGGATAGAAGGAACCTACTTAAATACTTAAACATCTTATGTTTAAAAGCCATCTATGAGAAGCCTTCAGCTAACATCATCCTCAACGGAGAAAAACTGAGAGCTTTCCCCCTGAGATCAGGAACATGACAGGGATGTCCACTCTCACCACTGTTGTTTAACATAGTGCTGGAAGTCCTAGCATCAGCCATCAGACAACAAAAGGAAATCAAAGGCATCAGAATGGGCAAAGAGGAAGTCAAACTTTCACTTTTCGCAGACGACATGATACTCTACATAGAAAACCCTACAGACTCCATCAGAAGCCTACTGTAACTGATCCAAGATTCATCAAAGTTGCAGGGAACAAAGTCAACGTACAGAAATCGGTTGCATTTTTATACACCAACAATGAAGAAACAGAAAGAGAAATCAAGAAACTGATTCCATTCACAATTGCACAAAACACCATAAAATACCTCGGAATAAACCTAACCAACAATACAAGAGATCTGTATGATGAAAACTATAGAAAACTTATGAAGGAACTTGAAGAAAACACAGAGAAATGGAAAAACATTCCATGCTCATGGATAGGAAGAATAAATATAGTTAAAATGTCATTACTACCGAAAGCAATCTACAATTCAATGCAATTCCAGTCAAAATTGCACCAGCATACTTCTCAAAACTAGAACAAACTATCCAAAAATTTGTGTGGAACCAAAAACGACCCTGAATAGCCAAAGTAATGCTTAAAAATAAAAACAAAATGGGAGGTATCACTATCCCAGACTTTAACCTCTAGTACAAAGCTGTTATCATCAAGACAGTATCGTATTGGCACAAAAACAGACCCATCGACCAATGGAATAGAATTGAGAACTCAGAAGTGGACCCAAAGGTATACAGCCAACTAATCTTGGGCAAAGCAGGAAAGAATATCCAATGGAAAAAAGACAGCTTCTTTAACAGATGGTGTTGGGAGAACTGGGCAGCAACATGCAGAAGAATGAAACTAGAACATTTTCTCACACCATACACAAAAATAAACTCAAAATGGATAAAAGACCTGAACCTGAGAGAGGAAACCATCAAAACCCTAGAGGAGAAAGCAGGAAACAACCTCCTTGACCTCCACCGCAGAAACTTCTTACTTGACACATCCCTCAAAGCAAGGGAATAAAGAGCAAAAATAAACGATTGAGACTTCATCAAGATTAAAAGCTTCTGCACGGCAAAGGAAACAACCCAGAAAACTAATAGACAACCAACAGAATGGGAGAAGATAGTTGCCAATGACATATCAGATGAAGGGTTAATATCCAAAATCTATAAGGAACTCACCAAACTCCACACCTGAAAAACAAACAACCCAGTGAAGAAATGGGCAGAAGATATGAACAGACACTTCTCCAAAGAGGACATCCAGATGGCTACCAGACACGTGAAATGATGCTCAGCATCCCTCCTCATCAGGAAAATACACATCAAAACCACCCTGAGATACCACCTCACGCCAGTCAGAGTGGCTTAAATGAGCAAATCAGAGAACTCTAGATGCTGGCGAGGATGTGGAGAAACGGGCACCCTCCTACACTGTTGGTGGGAATGTTAACTGGTTCAGCCCCTCTGGAAAACAGTGTGGAGGTTCCTCAAAAAATTAACAATTGAACTCCCCTATGACCCAGCAATAGCTCTGCTAGGAATTTACCCAAGGGATAAAGAAATGCTGAGGCATAGGAACACATGTACCCCATTGTTCAAAGCAGCACTCTCAACAACAACCAAAACATGGAAAGAGACTAAATGCCCATCAATGGACGAATGGATCAAGAAGATGTGGTTTATCTATACGATGGAATACTACATGGCAAAGAGAAAGAGTGAAATCTGGCCATGTATAGCAACATGGATGGACCTTGAGGGTGTTATGATGAGCGAAATAAGTCAGGCAGAGAAGGACAAATGCCATATGTTTGCACGTTTAGGAGGATTAGGTGGAACTTAATGGAGGACCATGGGGAAGAAGAAGGGGGTAAATGGTGGGGGAAAGGTAAAGAGGCAAATCATGAGAGACCCTTGAATGCTGAGAAAAAACTGAGGACTGATGGATGTGGGGGCGGGAGTGAGGAGATGGGCATGGAGCAGGGCACTTGTGAGGATGAGCACTGGGTGTTATATGGAAACCAACTTGATAGTAAACTATTTGTAAAAAAAATTATTAAAAAATTAAAAGAATTAAAACAGTACAGACAGAAAAAAAAATGAAAACAGAAAAGATTATGGTGATATTGACCCTAATGTTAAGTTTTAAAAGAAGAAAGCCAGGGACGCCTGGGTGGCTTAGTTGGTTGAGTTTCTGACTTAGCTCCGGTCATGATCTCGCAGTTGGTGAATTCAAGCCCCACATCGGGCTCTGTACTGAAAGCTCGGAGCCTGGAGCCTGCGTTGGATTCTGTGTTTTCCTCTCTCTATGCCCCTCCCTTGCACTCTCTCTCTCTCTCTCTCTCTCAAAAATAAACATTAAACAAAATTTTAAAAATAAAAAAAAGAAGAATGCAAAATGGTATACACAGTCTGGATCAGATGTTGTCCTTAAAATGTCATCGGGTCAGAACCAGCATATATGACTCACCTCATGAATATGAGCCTGTAGTACAATAAGCCGAGCATTGGTAGGCAGGTGTTGTTCTGATTTATTTTGAATGAGTGCCTTCCACAGTTTCTCATCTTCAGATCCCACTCTCTTTACAGTCTGTCTCACACCTTCCTTGCTGAGCTCCAGAGGCTCCAGGTGACCTGGTAATCAACTTTGGTGGGGTCCAAATTCTTACCTCCTGGAAAATTCACAGATCCTGACACCTGTTAGAAAGGAGCTTTTTATAAAAGGAGCTTTTAGAAGAACTACCCAATTTTTTCTTCGTAGCAAACTGCCAAACCAAGCTCATTTCCACAGATGGTTAGGGGCTTAACAGCCTCTTATATTGCTTTGAAGTTGGAGAATGAAATTCTGAAGGCCCAAATGCAGTGTGTGATGGAAGAAAATGTGGTCCTACAGGCTCATATCCCAAAGATCCAGAAGCCCCAAACAACTAAGGAGGCTGAACCACTTCAGAATCTCTTAGAGACCCAGGATCCCAGGAATCTTCAGAAACTCTGGATTTCCCAGCAGCCTAGGAGCACCAAGAATTCCCAGGAGTTGAGGATCCCTCATATCTCAGAGAACCCCAGGAGCTCACAGCATAGGAACACCTAGCAGCCCAGGAGCACCAGGAAATACCAGTGGTATAGGAGACCCAGAAGAGTTTGGAACCCCCAGAAGCCCCAGAGTCCCTGGAGCTTCTAGCAACTCGAGCTCCAGGCACCTTGAGTGGTCTATGAGCTCTCAGCAGCCTGGAATCCCAAAAGCTCACAAAGGTCAAGAAGCTCCCAAAGCCTCCAATGGCCCAGGAGGCCTATAAAGCCCTAGAAGTTAAGGAAGCCCAAGAGTTCCCAGATGCCCAGGATGTCTCAGTTGCCCAGAAGCCCCAGAATTCAGAGCACCAGTATCTTCCAAGTTCCCAGAAGCCTCAGGAAGTACCAGAATGCCAAGAAACCTCAATGCATCTGCAGCTCCTTAAGACTCCAACTGTCCAGGAGTCTCTGGAACCTAGAGTGCTCCAGAAGCCCCTAGATCCTTTAGATGCCCAGGAATTCCTAGAGCACTCAGCACCCCAGGAGTCCCTCAAGGGTCTAATAGCTGCTTTGACATCAGCAGGTGCAGAGTTCCCACAGTTCCCCAGTGGGTTAGAGGCTGAAGCTTCCTCCCTAGAATACTGTTTAGCCTTCAGTGGAGATGCCCAGAAGCTTTCTGAGTTCCTGGTTCAATATCCTGCTGAAGCAGCTGTGGTGAGCTGTGTTGGCAAGTGCTTCTCAGATGAGGCAGGAATGTGATTTCAGCCCCTACTAAATATACAAAGCCCCCTGCTGGAGCAATTTAAAAATTTCATACAAGTGCTCCATGATACTTTTGACACTCGAAAAAAACATGGAAGATGCCAGTCACTGCATCCATCATCTCTGCCAAGGCGAAGATCCTGCCTATCATTATGTGACCCACTTCCATCTCATTGCTCAAGAGCTAAAGTGGAATGAAAGCATTCTCTGCATCCAATTGCAGGAAGGGCTTGACAGTTCTATCCCAGATGAATCGTCTCACACAAGCCCAGCAACTGTCCTATCTAATCTGATCACTCAATGCCTAGAAAATAAGCTAAATGGTAAGTCTGATCCAAATACACAAAGAGAAAGTCCCTCTGAGGACAGACCTGGGCCTGAGAGTTCACTAGCTGAAAACCAGCCTGTGCAAGCTGCAAACAATTGTCCACACTTCAGTGAAGCTGAATGGGCCCACAGCTATGAAGGCCACTTATGCCTTTATTGTGGTCATCCTGATCATGTTGCCAGAGATTGTCCTCTCAAGCTTCATCATGCAGAGCAGGCAGGAAACATTGAGGTCTGGAAGTAAGGGGGAGCCCAGGTGGGCCAATCTACAAATATGCATCCCCCTCACTTCCAATATCCATTTCTCATACTCTATGGCTTACTATTGAAATCCAACCGGGAAGATGACAGTCCTTTTAGCAAGAAATAGTGGATTTGGGCTCCTACAGAAACAGCATTGACCATTCTGTGGTTCTTTGAGAGAAGCTGCACATCTGCAAAAATATCTTCCCTCTGATGCTTGAAATGGTAGATGGGCGTCCACTGATTAATGGACCCATAACCAAGGAAACACCAACTGTGGAAGTTAAAATTGTAAACCATATTGAAAAGCTCCAGTTTGTCATTATTCGTGTGCCATGGAACCCTCTGATTCTTGGAATTCACTGGCTTGCAACACATGATCCAAACATTGAGTGGAGTACCTGCACTGTGTCTTTTCCATCTCATTTTCACTACAATTGCTTCAGACACATGTAGCATAGAAGATGTCATAATGAAATAAATGCTGAATGTGTCCTAGTGAATGCTCCTAACAACCTGTCTTCTGTTATCTCAGTTGTCATCAGCATTTGCTGCTCAGAATCTTCCACTGAATCTCTGACAATGAATTTAGGTATTTGTACAATGATGCTGCCTCTCAGGTCATGCAATGATCTCAGATCAGACAATAAACCTGATGACTTTGAGCTGCCTTTGTTCATCAACTCTGCATGCCCCCACCTTGAACCCTGCATTAATGTGGGGCTGTTTCAATTATAACTTATATTAACGATATGCATGAAAATAGATATTAGAAACTAACATTGAAAAACTGTAGTTGTTAGACTGACTTGATTTTTTATCAAGATTTTCTTTAGCGCAACAATTGCAACATTTTCTCAATGAAGAAAATTGCAAGTGATATTTTTTCAAAAATCAATAAACATTGACAATTTCTACTATTATTTGAATTATTTCATGGTTTAGCTGAGGGAGGAGGAAAGGGACACGTGAATTGGGAGAGACGGAATTGGAAAAGGCTTAAAGTTTGGGTGAGGTCCTGAATATTTCAGGAGTGGTGAGATCAGTGGGTGATGGGGTAGGGGGAAGCGAAGAGAGTAGGGGAATGGATATGGTAAATTCGGTAAGGTATGGAGGGATTAGGGAGAGGATAGAGGTAAGTTGAGAAGGTTTGGGGAAGATTGGGAGGAAAAGTTGGAAAGGTTTCAGGTGAGAGCTAGTTGGTGCTGAGGGCAGGGGTGAAAGGAGGGGAAAATACCTACAAAAGTAAAGGCAGCAGTAACAGAGATATTGAGCAGCTATAAAAGAAAGTTTTTGGACATCAAACAAAAATACTGAAGAAGGTAATGAGACCCCTCCGTGACCCAACTTTCTCAGTAAAATGACAAGGTCTTATTCTCTGCACCAGGGAAATTTGCCCTAAGGGCTTATGCCTGTTAATCTGTTTTTGCTGATGCATAGACATGGGTGGCAGGGATCAACTTTTAACACATACAGTTCATTAGTAGCCAACTATACCTCTACTACATATACAGGTTGCCCTGCCCTGTTAACCATGCTCCTTGCATGACACACAGAGAGTCAAGTCAAATGGGTCTGAGAAGGGGTAGTGTCCTAACTTAAATCACAAACACATACACATTCGTGCAAACTACAAGGTGAGGGGAAGCAAGGGTGGGATCTTTAGGTAAGATAAAAAATTATCAAAGTATACTCTAATGTTTTTCTTCTGTTTTCAACATTCCTTTTAGAGTCACTTTCTAAGGCCACTTGAAGGAGATTCTGACAATTACGTAGATAAATAATCAAACACATAATCATAACCCTAGAAGGAGGTAAATGAGGAACCCGCCATTCATTTAACATATGTTCCAGCTACAATATTAGGCATATTATACACATTCACTTATGCCTCAGAACAAACCAGTGAAGTAGGTATGTTTGCTCCTATTTTATCTATGAACAAATAGAGTCCCAAAAAGACCAGTTCACTTGCCTAAAGTCACAAAGTTAGTAAGTGGCAGAGACCTGTTGAGTCTTCACAGCCTGTGCCTTTTTTCCTACAGCATGCCAATCTCCCTAATGGGGAGGTACAAAGGCCAAATAAGATTGTTGCATCAGAGAGCTAAGTGAGATAACCCTAAAAAGGTGGGGTTGGGCTTAGAATAAAAATTTCAGGGACCATTTGAATAATAGTTATGTTTCTCCAGTTCCCTTTATCTCACCCCCAAACCCCTCAAACATCCTATTTCATCTCTTGGAAGATTTCCTTTCATTAAACTAAGAGCACAGCTGAATGTCCCTTTCAGACAGTTAGCATACATAATAAAATGTGTGATAGTAACAAATAAACCAAACTGAACATTGTACAATATGATAAAATTAACAGTAATAACTACCATTTAATGAGCACTTGGATTTTGCCAGACATTGGACTAAGTGATTGGTGTATTTTCAGACGGCTGCAAAGTACATATTATTGGCCCCTTTATATAAATCAAAGAAGTGAAACCACTGAGATGAGGTCACTTTCCGAAACTCACTCCTATGAATTGGTGGATTCTAAAAACAAACTCTGATCTGTTTCATTTCAAAGCTGGAATTCTAGCCAATACACTGCACTGCTTCTCAAACTAAGTAAACTTTACTCTTTATTAAATACTTTAACAATATTCACTAGACATGATTTCTATTACTTTAAAAAATATATTAATTTGTTAGTGCATTTACTTATTTATTCACTTAGCAAACATTACTGAATGTCTTTAGTGTGTCAGGCACAGACATTGAGGAAGAGGAAGAAAGGTACGAAGATATCTTATGTATGACACAGTTCTTGGTCTGACCACAGTTAACAGGGGGAAGCTGTTGGGCAACATAGCACTTCTGGTATACAGAAGAGAGCACTAATTTTGCTATAGACTAAAAAGTGAGTCTTGAGCTGGGTCTTGAAGGAAGTCTCATGGAAACAAAAGAGAGGGCACGATTTTCTAGATTGAATGAAGTGCACACAAGAAACCAAGTTGGAAGGAAAAATAATAGTGTCATTAGAAAAGATAGTTCATTTCACTGAAGAGTATGGATGTGTGTACATTTGTGCAGGGTAAGTGGAGGACGTCAGTGGGGAGTTGAAACTTAAGGAGGAAGCTGGAAGTCTCAGGTTAAAGACCTATCTACCTGGATAAAGCATTTAAACTTTATCCTATGGGCAATTTGGCCTGAAATCATTGTTTTCCTGTCTTTCTCCCCCCCCCCTTTGTTGGGTTTTTTCCCTCTCTTTTGGCAAAGTAATGCACACTCATTGTAACAAATTCATATATATCAGAAGTTTATAACATAAAAATAATATTCCCCTTAACTAATAAAAAAGATTTTAAGTAAGAAAGAAACATGATTCGTTTATATTTTAAAATTTTGAGGGGGGCCTGTGTGGCTCAGTCAGCTAAGCATCCGACTTTGGCTCAGGTCATGATCTCATAGTTCGTGAGTTCGAGTGCCGCGTCGGGCTATGTGCTGACAGCTAGCTCAGAGCCTGGAGCCTGTTTCGGATTCTGTGTCTCCTTCTCTCTCTGGCCCTCCCTTGCTCACGCTGTCTCTCTATCTCAGAAATAAATAAAACAATAAAAAAAGTTTTAAAAATTTGATAACAATGTAGAAAATAAAAGACAAAGTGATAAAGTACCCCCAGTACTTTTTACCTTCTTAGATTTTATGAAGAGGGGCTCAAACCATCAAAGACAAAGAATTAAAAAATTTTAACTCCAATTTTCCTCATTTATTTTGAGTCCTTAGTATGAGCAAGACATTGAAGTATGCACACACATATGCAAGATGTCCCAACCATCAAAAAAAATTATAATCTAATAATGGATAAGAAGTTGATGAATTGTAAGAAACTGCCTTTCTATTTGGGCCTTTCAAATTTTAAGAATTTTAAATGGAGATGATTTTGTAAAAACATATATTATGCAATATTGGCACAGATACAAAGAAAACAACTCTCTGGCTAGCTAAGCTTTCTAAAGTTAAACTTTAATAGAAAAAATAATCCTTATATTTTGGTAGCCTCCCTTGCAGGTTTGTTTCCTTAAAAATATTTCATATTTCGTGCTATCAAAGTACTACTTCAAGTCACATGACAATTTCAAATAACAGTCATTCAATGGAGAGATTTGTATTATCCTCATACATTTTAGTAGCCTCCCTTCCTGGTTTGTTTCCATAAAAAATATTTCATATTTTAGAAGGAGGAGGGGCAAGATGGCGGAGAAGTAGGGAGCTCCGTACCTGCACTCCCACCCAGGCATCACACGGAAAAGATCTGAAGCCATCAGAAACCGTACCTCACTCAAGAGATTGGGAGAGAAAGGATGCAGACTCCACTGAGAAAGCCTTCTAACGGCTACCTCAAGAAACAAGCCAGAGTACACAGGGTGGAGAGTCCCAAATATCACTACGAATAGGAAAATAAAATAACCAAGGTCCCAACAAAAGAGACCAAGGGATACCATTCAAAAAACACTCTCTGAAAGGATAGGCCCTGGACAGTCAAAGAGTCTTCTTGGATACAGCAGCGCTCATATATAAAGAGAGAAATAACAGGTCTTTACAACCAACAAGAGCCAGAAAGCTAACTAAAATGATGAAACGAAAGAGCTCTCCTCAAAAGAAACTCCAAGACGAAATGACAGCTAATAAACTGCTCAAAACAGATATCAGCAGCATAACTGAACAAGATTATAGAATAATAATGGTAAAATTAATAGCTGGGCTTGAAAAAAGCATAGGGGACATCAAAGAAACTATGGCTACAGACAGAATGGAAAATAAAAATAGGCATGAAGAATTTAAAAATGCGATCAATGAGATCCATAATAAATTAGAGGCCTCCAAGGCACGGATTGAAGAGGTAGAAAGGAGAATAAGTGACTTAGAAGACGCCATTATAGAAAAACAAGAAGCTGATAAAAAAAGACACAAACTGATCCAGGAACATGAAAGAAGAGTTCAAGAGATCAGCGA